GAAGATCAGAGATTGGATTCCCATGGGAAGGTTGATTTCTGATATTCTCACTGAAAATGGTTTAGTAGCATATCTGAAAGATGCTGGACAGACAGATGAACTAGAGCCTATTCTTGGAAAGCCTCTAGATAGCAAGAGTCTTCAGAGAAAGAAGTTGGTAGACAAACTTCAATCTGATCCAGTTCAGATTGACTCTGATGTTGTACGCAGAAGGAGGGTACCAGTGGAAGATTTCCCACTCTTCACTGTAGAAGAGCCAAAGGAAGCTCTCCTAGCTTATATTGCTTCTTGTATGGCAGATGGCACTCTTATGCCAGCTGATCTGCTGATACGTGCTTCTCAACCTGCTCCAGAGCTGATTATGCGGAAGAAAAGCAAGAAGAGAAAGGTCTCTGAAGAAGTTCCCTAAGAGAAACAGTCTAAGAGTTCTTAGAGAAAGGCTTCTGAAAAAGAATCTTCCAAGAAGTCATCAAAGCGTTCTAAGCAATCAGGTAATCACTCTGATGTTTTATCTCCTGTTTTGGAAAATGTAACAGAAGAACCAACATCTCAACCCTCTCTCTCTCTTCTGAACTAATTCTCACATCTGAACCTATTATATCTTTTGAACCTTTGATCACATCTGAACCTATTCTCTCTTCTGAACCTATCATCACCTCTGAGCACCATTCATATTCCTCTGAGCATGTTCATGTCTCTATTGCCTCTTCTTTCTCCCAACCACAAACTTCTAACCCTCACACCACCTCTTAACATAACCAAGAAGCCACCTCTGAACACACCACCTCTATACCATCCACACCCTCATTCAATATCCCTCAGCAAACCAATTCTGCTGAAGTCCCCTCTACAAACCAACCAGTTGTTACCAACCCGTCTGAACCTGAAATATTTCATGCCACACCTCTCCTAACCATTCACCCAATTTCATCTGACCCATCTGACTCCTCCTCTGATCAATCAGATGCTACATCCCCTCCACATAACTCCCTTAACCATCCTCTTGAAATTTCTTCTCCCACTCTCATTTCCTATCATTCTCCAGATAAATCTTCATCCTCTTTTGAACCTTCATTTTTTGATGCCCTTAAGAAATCCTTCTTTGAGGCCTACCTTAAGCCCAAACCCAGACCAAATGTTGGTAATATGTTATCTAGTTTTAAAACGAAGATGCATATGTGGTTTTCTGCTGTTAGGGAGAAGTGCCTCACTAGCACGAATCCTCATGACTCTGAAGAAATTTAGACTGCTTTCAGAAAGAGATTTGCTTCTGTTACTATGAATCTTCAGGATGTTTGCTCTGCAGATGCACAAGAGAGAGTTTCTGAAGCCCTGAAACTTGCTCAACTCAGTGTCAGCAGAACTCCTATTCTGTGTCTGGAAAACACACCTGCAGAGGTTGTGTGTTCCTCATCTGAGAAATATGATGCACTTCAGATGAGTGAAGATCATCATGCTGAATAAGTTACCTCAAATGCTCCTGTTGTTGAAAAGATTTCTGCCTCTGATCAGCCCTCTGCTCTGAAATTAGGGAATGCATCTTCTTCATTAGTTGTTCAAAATTCAACAGATTTAAGGAAAGAAAATGAAGATATGCAAAACAAGTTTGCTCAGCAAGAGGCTACTAACACTGAGATAAAATCTTGGATGATCAAGCAAGAGAAGACTACGACAAAGATTCAGGAGTGGATGGTCAAACAAGAAGAATCCACTACTGAAATCAAGACATGAATGGTCAAACAAGAAGCTTCAACTTCTGAGATGACAAAGCTTCTTAAACTTTTAGCAAATCGTTTATCTTAATTGTTTGTTAGTTTGTGCTTATCTGTGATTTTTCCTGTTTTAATTCTTTTCTGAGTATCTATATGCATCTGTGACTATTTTTTCTTACATCTTATTTTGTCTTATTTTTTTTCTATTTTTTCTTGCTCTGAATTTTTTTTTGTCTTAAATGATTTTCTAAAATAAAAAGGGGCGAAAATGGAAATCACTTTTTGATATGACAAAAAGGGGGAGAAAATGGAAATTTTGAATTGTTCACATAAACAAATATTGAACGAAAACTCACACATGGTAAAATCTAACTAATCATGAATTCAGTGTTTCAGAGCTAAAGTTACTCATCTGACAATATTTATAGAATTAACTCTGAACAAGGTCTGAGATAGTCCACAAGTTTGCTCTGACTCTGGAAAGAATACAAATGCTGAAAGGGAAGTTTTAAATTTTCTAGTAGTATTCATTTCAGGGGGAGAATCATATTCTCAGGGGGAGACATATATTTTAATTTTGAACAAAATTTCGTATAGTTTTTGTCTTCATCAAAAATGGGGAGATTGTTAGAACACAGATTGGTTATTAATATATCTCAATGTTTTGATGATAACAATAATGAAATTTTGTATGGAGAAAATATATACTCTAATTTTTTTCAAGTATTTTTGTTTCAGATAACATAATAAATATTCCTCTGAACGGAATATTCCTCTGAACATTGAGCGAAGCTGCAGAAGGCTCTGAGCGTAAAGTATAAAGTGAAGATTCAGAAAACTCTGAGCGTACTAAACTCAACGTTGCAACTGCAGAGGCTCTGAGAATCAAATCAAGTAAGGCTCTGAAACGTTAGTAACCAGGCTCTGATACATTTGGATAACACGTAAGAGCGAAGATCTGCTCTGATCTGAAGTGTTCCTCTGGATGAACAGTTTGTTCAAACAATCACGCTAGCACTAAGCTGCAGAACTCTAGAAAAGAGTTACTCTGATAAAAAGAAAATGGAACACCATCAGAGGATCTGATGCATGAAATATTTCCACATTCGTTCAATTCAAATGATGTTGATCAAGAAAGATTAGTTGCCTACTCCAACGACAATATTGTCTACATCCAACGACACTATTCCTCTTTTATGTATGGTACAGGATGTCAGAACAAAAAGGATATCTCTGAACATTCCTCTTCTGGAAAGGAACAGTCAAAGAAGACAAAAAATTATGCACGCTATTTGAGAAATGTGAAGTATTTAAACAAGTCTTCAACAGCAATTCAAAACAATGAAATACATCATTCCAAAAAGTGAAAGCATCATTCTACAACGTACATACAACTTTTGCTGAAAAGAAAATAGAAAGTTTCATTGTTCTTTAATTTGTGCAAAAATCACTGTTGTGAAATAGCTTATTCTAGAAGCACTTAAACACATTTTATTATTACTTTGCAATAGATCCTTGAGAGACCAAGTTGTAGTCAGTATTCTTGAGAAGACTAAGACAAGTTTGTCTTAGTGATAAGATTGTAATCAGTTTTTGATTATTGGATTAAGTCATTGTTTGAGAGAGGCGAAATCACATTGGCCGGGTGGACTGGAGTAGTTTGAGTGTAAACGAACCAGTATAAAAATATTTGTTATTTTTATTATCTTATTTGTTTTTAAAACCCTTATTCAACCCCCCTTCTAAGTGTTTTCCTACCTTCATGTATAATTTTGTGAACATAAATTATACTTTCAGATGTTTGTCCGGATGATTCATATCTTGAAAACGGTGGAATGTCTTCGTCATCTTTAGAACTTGTATAATCTTCAAATTGATGAGCTACATATAGCATTAAAAGAATATTAAAAATATGCTATACTATTGAAGAAGAAATATATTACAAACTTGAAAGATAGAATATTTAAGATTTACTTGCAAAAAGATCATATTCACAATCATCATCATCTTCACTTTTAAAATCTATGTTGATAGTTGGAGTGAAAATTGAACTTGATGGTTGAAGGTTTGTGGTATAGACTAAAGGTGTAGGATGTGGACATTGAATCCCTAACTCATTTGTATGAGTTGGAATATAAAATTTTCTATAAAAAAACTCAACATGTTAAAAGTGGATATGGTTCACATTAAGTAGAAAGAGAAAAAAATCACGATAATAATGGACAACTATAATTTGAAAGAGAAGAAGAAAAAAACATATTAAAGAAGAAAAAAATTGAATTGACATTCTTACAATGAGGGGGATGAAGACATGTCATCCAAGACATTTGTGGAATCTGATGAAATACTTATATCAAGTTGTATGTTGTTTTTGAGGTTTATGGCCAAATTCGAAATTCCAAGTGATTTTTTTTTAACAACCACACCGTGGTTTTTCAACTGAAATTGTAAATTGTACTATAGAAGGATTGACCAAATTCAATACATAGTAAATTGAATACAAATGAATACACAATCAATTTTTTAATAATGCAACTTAATATGGTACTTAAAAAGCATTTTAAGCATATCATCTTTAGAAATAGCAATTCAATAGGATAGAGTGAGAAAAACATACATTGGAGTTTGAGTAGAATAACCATCTTGTGATATTACAATTCTTTTTGGCGTATCAAGATTTGGCCTATTACGTTTATATTCACTAAACATAAAAAAGTGTTGTATTTATTAACTTAGACATGTCAACATTAGAGAATTTAAACACGAGATTTGTCCCAATAGAATTGACATAATATTTCTTATAAACATTCCAAAACTTACGATCAAAGAAAGATACCACGATAAAATCAAATATTTTAAGTAAATTGGATAAAAAATCCTCATTATTTCTATTAATTATAATATAATAATCAAGTTACCTTTGATTTGATACTTCCGAGTTAGCTCCAATATTTTTCCTCATTATTAGTCACCAAACTTTTGATAGTTATTTTCACTATATAAAAAATAATAATATCTCTTTTAACACTTATTTTAAAGACTTTTTCCTTATTTTTTGATACCTTATTTTCCTCATTTTTCTTTTTTGTAGCCCAAAAAAAAGAAAGTGCATCATGTGGATGTGGAGGGAAAACATTAACCAGTGAAGTAAAACTAAAAAAATAGGGTTTTTAGAAGAAAAAACCAAAAACAAAGAAGGATAGAGGGAAAAAGAGTAGAACAAGTGTTTAGAGAGAGCAAGCGTAGCAAAATAGTGTTCAATTTCAATGTGTTTGTGAAGTGAATGTAATGGCACCTGTGCTTCTACGTCGTCTTCCTCTACTTCGCTTCATGTCCTCTCGCAATTTCTTCACACCCTCTTCCTTCCGTCTCCATTCTTATCCTCATTCTTCTTCATCTCTTCCTCTTTCTACTCTCTCTAAACCCAGGTATATTATTTTCAATCAGTACTACCCTTTTGAAAAATTATCGGTTTTTGATAAAAGGGTCAATTTTTTTTATTGAAAAATGTGTTTCTTATGGTGTTGTTGTTGTTGTTGGGGATACTCTTTTTGTGCTGAATTGGTGATAGGAACAAAAGGGGTTGTTTTGATGAATTTTTTTTTGATGATTTTGTTTGGTTTTTTCAGGAAGAGAATTTCTCTTAGAAAGTTTGCAGCTCCTAGTTTGGTGTCAAATGCAGTCACTCCAAGGGCCTATATGTCTTCTTTATCTGCGGCTGAAGATAGTCATAAGAATGACGGTTCCAAAGCTTATGGTTCTGATCAAATTCAGGTCTTTTTCTTTTAGAATAATAGCTCTATTGATAGTGTAGACCAGTTTCAAAAGTATATCTAATCATGTTTCACTGTCTTATGAGATCATAATTGAAGTAATATTATGATATGACAATTTTTTGTCATAAAAATGTCAATTTATTTTGTCTTTAAAATTTTGTATTGTAAGGTTTTAAAAAATGATTGCGGTCACGTAAAGGCTTTCATGATTTCGGTCATTACAGGTGTTACGACACTGATTGCGGTCCTCGCGGTGTGAATTATGAATTAACCTTAACCATGTTCTTTAACATAAAAGCGGTGAATAATGGTATAGGTATTGGCACATGCCAATACTGTTTTGTCACGACCGTTTTCGTGGTTGCGGACTGTTTTTTATAACCTTAGAGTCTAGACAATTTGGTAAGAATTGTTTGAGTCTTAATTGGATATTGACTTGTTGTAAATGTTATTATGCTGAAAAGTTCATTATTTGAATTTCTTTGTCGGTATTTTGGCATCGTTAACTGGTTGCTGGCATTTCCATCAATGGTTGTTTGTTACTTGTAGGTACTTGAAGGCTTGGACCCTGTAAGAAAAAGGCCTGGGATGTATATTGGAAGCACTGGCCCGCGTGGGTTGCACCATTTGGTATCTTTGTGTTTTTATTTTTTATTTTTTTTATTGTTGTTTCCATAACAGTTCTGATATTATTGTTTTCTGTGATGGAAATTGAGTTTATTTCTTCTTTGTTAGGTCTATGAAATTTTGGATAATGCTGTTGATGAAGCTCAAGCCGGGTTTGCTTCAAAGATTGCCGTTGTTTTACATGAAGGCGGTGCAGTGAGCATCACCGACAATGGTCGCGGGGTATGCTCTGCTGTCTTTCTCATGGTTTGATTGCGTTTTTAGTATTGACTGTATATCATGTGTGCACATCGGTCTGTGTTTCCAAACTGAAAACCTATATATCCGGAAATTTCACAGTTGAGTAGGAACTTATAGGACTATGATTTTTGATGCTACATTCACTATCTTTAGGATGATTTTGACTTTGCATACTAATATCTCTCAATTGAATGCAGATTCCTACCGACATGCATCCAACTACAAAGAAATCTGCCTTAGAGACAGTGTTGACGGTATTTTTTTATTTACTTGAATATTGAGTTTAGAAGATTGCTGTATTATGTACATTCTAGAAGGTCAATACTCACTGCAGCATGGTTCTTTTGATACCATACAATTGAATTTTAATTAAATCACTATGGTATTTAATCAAAAAAGTAAATTATGTAAGGAAATGCATTAGACCTTTTAGAAATTAGTGAGTGATTGACAAGCCTTTGGTTTATATTTTTTGTGCTTAATCTTTTTGTATACTTTTTAGTTGGATACAGATTATTTACTTTTACGAACTTTGTAGATCTTGCATGCTGGTGGAAAATTTGGCGGCGTCAATAGTGGCTACTCTGTTTCCGGAGGTTTACATGGTGTTGGCTTATCTGTTGTTAATGCCTTGTCTGAGGTACGTCTTCCTTACAGTTCTCGTTCTTTGCTGTCTTGAACTTTGCAATGTATATCAGAAGCTTCGAATATCAAATTTGATGCACGGCTTACATTATAAGACATCTTGACACATACTCATATATCCTTCATATATCATATGTCATATATTTAGATGGTAAAAATTAATGCCATCGCATTTATATTTGTTTTCAGTCAGAGGTTCCGTTCCTTGTTTCAGTTAATTATCAGTGTTTTTCTAAAGACTCTCTTTGTTGTCTAACTCCACAGATATTAGAGGTAACCGTTTGGCGTGAAGGGTTGGAATACACACAAAAATATTCTCGCGGGAAGCCGGTGACAACTTTGAATTGTGTCATGCTTCCTTTTGAAAATAAAGACCGTCAAGGAACGCGTATCAAATTTTGGCCTGACAAAGAAGGTTCTAATGGTCATTCATTCCCAGTTTATGGTTTTTCTTCTACTGCAAATTTTATTCTTACATGTTTCTTTTACTCTTTACTTAACATGCAGTATTCACCACTGATATTCAGTTTGAATACAACACAATAGCTGGACGCATAAGGGAGTTGGCTTTCCTTAACCCAAAGGTGAAGTAGTCGATTTGTAGGAGAGTAATTTTTCTGTCTTACTTTACTTCTAACACAGATTTTTCTTGACCTTTGCAGCTTACGATTGTGCTTCGGAAAGAAGACAATGATCCAGAAAAGGTCCAATATAATGAGTATTTCTATGCTGGGGGATTGGCTGAATATGTGAAATGGCTCAACACGGATAAGGTCTTTTACTTTCACTTATATGCTCGTAGTGCATGAAAATATAATTTTTTTTTCTTTTTCCAGTTGTTGGTTTGCCGAGGGAGGATATCGTAGTCTTCTCTGTTTTACTTTTACTTCTTCAATTAAAATGTAAATTTCTATACAACTCATGTATGTATTTTTTCGATAAAATATCCATCAGACTGCGTATAATGTTAACTAAACAACTCTTAAGTTTGCAACTGTGAACACCTTATAATGCAAAAACAGCTTATTATGGGGTTTTATTTGGATTTGATATTTTGTTATCTTTTAACGAAATTTCCACTAATACTAGTGATCTGTTGCAGAAAGCTGTTCATGATGTTCTGAGTTTCAGAAAAGAAATAGATGGAGTCACAGTTGATATAGCTTTACAATGGTAAGCCCTTCATCCATGCTTGGATTTTATTCTCTCTATTTGGCACTTGATCCCCACTCCTTGTGAGTATGACTAGGGATTAACTCTTGAAATCAAGGGTAAGTATTTGATAAGAGTTCCACATCGGACAATATATGGTCTGAACATGTGCTTATAAGTGGGGGGGCAATCCTTACACTACAAGCCAGTGTTGTAGGGATGAGTTAGCCCAACCACATTTCTTAACAATTTTTTTATATCTTAGTCAACATTAAAGCTCCAAATGGTAAGTTGGATTGTACAATTATTTGTAAAATGACTGACTATTCACAAATCCTTCGAGCCATATGTGTAATTCTTTTCACTTCTTCTCTGTTAGGTGTGAAGATGCATATTCCGACACGATACTAGGATATGCTAATAGTATACGGACTGTCGATGGCGGCACCCATATTGATGGTATGAAGGCTTCTTTAACAAGAACACTAAATAGTCTCGGAAAGAAATCAAAACTTATCAAGGTATTTTTCAACCGATGTTTCTCTTTTCTCTGTTTGCCCTGTTGCCATGCCTGTCCAATATTAAAATAGGAGATTTGGAGCTAGATATGATGTGAAAGTAGCACTGAAACAGGATTCTCTTTTATTCTTCCACTAAGAAGGTAGTGCAATCCTTCTAATATCTTTTAAGCCGAGAGCTTCTTCTGTTCTTTACAGGAAAAGGATATTACTTTAAGTGGAGAGCATGCGAGAGAAGGCTTAACATGCGTTGTCTCTGTCAAGGTCCCGAATCCGGAGTTTGAAGGACAAACAAAGGTACTGCTTTACTATATATTTTATGTGGAGTGCCTATATTCTTGCATCATTAGTCACCTGGATTATTACAGTTTTCACCATCTAATTTATTTCTCCGCAATTAATATCACCCTCATTTCTTTGTTGCATGAAGACAAGGTTGGGAAATCCAGAGGTTCGGAAAGTGGTTGACCAATCTATTCAAGAGTATCTTACCGAGTATTTGGAACTGCATCCAGATGTTCTCGATGCAGTGCTCTCTAAAGCTCTTAATGCTTTCAAGGTAGTCTTTTAGATTCTGTCGATCCTGATGATGAGTATTAGGCTTTTTTTTCCCTATATAATTTAACCAAAATATTTCTCTCTTTTGAAATTTGTCTTATTAGGCAGCTTTGGCTGCTAAAAGAGCAAGGGAGTTGGTGAGACAGAAGAGTGTATTGAGATCTTCATCTCTTCCGGGCAAACTCGCTGATTGTTCATCATCAAATCCTGAAGACTGTGGTATGCTTCTGTTTTGCAGAAACCTTTTTGCTTCTTAGAAAGACATTTATTTCAACTAAAGTCAGTGTGACATTTTCTGACTTAGATTAATGCGAAAATAGTTATTCCTACTTGTTGAGGTGTAGAGCTAAGAGGTGTGTTCCAGCATAGTTGTTCCATGTCAAATGAGCTGAGAGATACTTCTAGAATAACTGTTTATTGAGGACTTCTGTTTTAATCTTTTAATGATTCATGCCAAACTAGTTGAATTGAAGGATCCTTTTGACTTTAATCTTTTGATGAGATAGGATTGTGTTTTAAATAAAAAATTCTGTGTTTTTTATCCCCATGTTGCAGAAATTTTTATAGTTGAAGGTGATTCAGCCGGGGGAAGTGCTAAGCAAGGTCGTGACAGGCGCTTTCAGGTAAAGTACACTGTTAGACGAAAGCCTATAAAAGTAATGGTATTTTGTTAAATCCATTTGTTACCTTCAATTTTTCCATACATTTTTCTAATTATTGTATCTAGTTGCTTGTATTTTTTATTAACTGACACATGGAGCTGTTAATTTGTTAGATCAGCGGTTCATTACATGAACAATAAAACAGTTGAGCTATAAAAGTTATGTATTTAACAGACCGTATTTGTTGCAGGCCATTCTCCCATTGAGGGGTAAGATTCTGAATATTGAAAGGAGGGATGAAGCAGCAATGTACAAAAATGAAGAGATCCAAAATTTAATCCTTGGTCTCGGTCTCGGAGTGAAGGTTAAAATCATTCTGATTATCTGAATAACATGTTAACTAAGTTATTAGTTATATTCAGTGTAAATACTAACTAAAGCAAATATATTGAAATTGAAGTACAATCCTTGACCACCTGTGCCGGAACTCTACGCTCTTAACTTCATCTTCTATTATTTAATTATTTTAGTCAAAATGTGTTTTGTTGGTTCAGGGAGAGGATTTTAAAAAGGATGCACTTCGATATCATAAGATTATCATTTTAACTGATGCTGATGTAGATGGTGCTCACATCCGTACTCTGCTACTGACATTTTTCTATAGATATCAGGTAAACAAGTGGATTCCCTTGAGAGTATTAGATCAAAATAATCAAATTGATTAAGTGGTTTTTTTTTTTTTACTTGCAGAGAGCTTTGTTTGATGAAGGTTACATATATGTCGGTGTTCCGCCACTTTATAAGGTTTGCCTTGAATTTTTGTTACGTCGAGTGTTTGTCAGAATGGATATTATCAAGCTAACTTCCCGGTGTTTTTACTGAAATAATCAGGTTGTAAGGGGAAAACAAGTCCACTATTGTTATGATGAGGCCGATCTTAAACAACTTAAGAGTTCGTTCCCTCCTAATGCATCATACAACATGCAAAGGTTCAAAGGTATGATGAATTGTGTTTCTGCTTATGTTTCTTTCAGTTCACGCATTTCTCTCTGTTAACTATGTAAAACTCGAATGTTTTCACAATGTTGAATTATTGTTTTTTCTCTAAGCTAATTATTCGATAATGTTTATATTATTCTCTGGTCTTGGATGTTTTATAAATCAAGGGCTGGGAGAGATGATGCCTTTGCAACTATGGGAGACAACCATGGATCCAGAACAGAGGTTGTTGAAGAAGTTGACGGTTGAGGATGCAGCTGAAGCAAATATTGTTTTTTCATCCCTTATGGGAGCTCGGGTAATGCGCACAAGATAGCTAATGATCACAAGTCAGCTTAATTGTCTTTGTTGCATTGCCATAATCTGAATGTTCAATTTAATTTATATCAGGTGGATGTTCGGAAGGAGCTGATACGAAACGCTGCAAACATGATTGATCTTGATCAGCTAGATATTTGATGATGATGCTAAAGGGTATGGATGAAATGGCATTTTTTTCCTTATTATTAACAACCATACACCACATCATAGTCAAGCACAGATTACTCGATATGTTCGTGGAAGACGGAATGTCCTTCTTAATCGAAGCTTGGCGCTCCTGTTATTTTCTTCGGTGATATTTTTGTGATTTGGAAGCATTTTTCAGTGGCCAGAGTGGAGTGGTCATTTGCATTTGGTGGGAAAGTCTTTGGAGGCTTGGTTGAAATCTAATTTGATTTCTACGAAACTGACAAAAAAGTGTACATTTTTCTGATTCAAAATTGTGTGGAAGTTTTATGTAATGTTATTAATACACTTTCAGATGTTAGTGTGGTGATGGTATACAACATGTTGTTTTGAAAGAACAAGTGATTTAGTTCAAGTAATTAATAAACTTAACTTAAAAAAAAATTGGTTGGAAGAATCCAAATCTAAAGTCTAAATGAAATGAATAATTAAATGTAGATTTATTATAATGAATAAGTTGACAAATTTCCTTGGGGAAGAGTTTTTGTTATTGTTTTCTCAAAAGCAACATAGATGGGTATAAAAGAATATGCCACAAAACAGCACACAAGAGACATTGAAAGAGAATATGCCTTTCTGAACATGAACAAAATAAAACCATAACACTAATTGTTTTTTCTTTTCATTTGAATTCAAGTGAATTGATTCAACATTTCTTTTGCTTGGACATGGAAGATGAAAATTCATCAGCTAGTTTTCTCTTCAATTCGAACACAACCATTTCTCAAAGTTGAAGGTTTCTGTAAGTTCAGTTTCATTGCACCATCTCTCTGTGTGCTCATCCATTGTTTTCTCAGCATTTTAAAGAGTTAAGCCTAATCACTAAGATGGATAATTTCCATTTAGTTCATCTTTCTCATAATCATTGTGATCTTCAACTATTTCTATACATTATCTTCAACTGAAATAATACAAGTTATTCACAAGCATGTTGAAAACTTACAAACTATGACACCCCGTTTGTTGAGATTCATCCTTCTTCAATGAATGCCTAGATTTTTTAGGTTGTTCAAAAAGGTTTCTCCAATAATGGAACCAACCTTAACAAACACGCAAGGATAACCTATTGGAGCTTCTATCCATGATTCACTTCCTTGTTTTGAAAACACTTTTCCTGTCCAAACATGTATCCAACCACTAATCTCTCCCAATGGAAAATAAGCTCTAACTCTCTTCTTTCCTTTGTCAAGAACCGGCACCACTAGAAACTCAGAACCAACCAAGAATTGTTGATAACTCAACTTATGCACATGTTCGTCGTTAGGGTAATGGAGAAATAGGTGCCGGCATACAGGTAATCCTTTCCGCGCCGCTTCCTGTTTGCATAAAAAAACCATTTTACATGATTGCGTAGTTAAAAACGTTTGCGTAAGGATAATGGAATTTACGATCACCTTCACTAGTTGAATTCGGTAAAATTTCCATGCTGTGTATATTTTTGCAGTGCGCGCAAAGTGTGACAGAGTTTGATTGTTTGAGTAAAACTGGCTGTTGCATGATGGTTTGTTTCCCTGCTTGCAGAACAAGCATCAGTGATGATTCATTATGAAAAGATATGGCATATTGCAGGTGTTTTACTTACTTCATGAGTGCGGAAGACGGTGGTGAAAGAATTAAGCTCCATCCAACGCAGAAGCAATTCTTGACTTCTTCTGTATTTAACTATAGGTAGGTTAACTGTACAATATCCTCCGATGTCGCTGTGATTAAAGGCGTAGCCGGATATTCCGCTGCTAAGTAGACCAACAACGGAACTCTTTATTCCGTCATTTGCTTGCCAACTCACCATTTGATCGCCTTCCCAAAACAGCATCCCCCACTTCGGGCTATCTTTAAAACCAGCTCTCAAGAAGAAAACCAAACCGTCGTCTTGGTTTTCATTCGAATTTTCCAAGGACTTGTTACTTTTCCATTCTTCCACAATTTCTCTATTGATTTTGGCCCATAGTTCTGGATATCTGTTATGAGCCGAAATAGGATCTTCACCTGAATATAGAACCGCGTCAACGGGAAGGCCTTCGCCAAAATCAGCCATCCATCCTCTAACTCCATCATCCACCATTTCAAGTAGAATCTGCTTGAACCATGTTTCAGTTTTCGGGTGAGTTAGATCTAGCATTGCCACATCAAAGGCGGTATTTGGAACCATATATGGATTTCCGTTACCGTCTTTCACCAATATGTCCAACTGTTTTGCTTCCTCAAAAAGGTTTCTGTTTTTGTTATCCTTGTCTTCAACCTATAGGACCAGAGAGAAAACAACCGTGTTAGTGGCATTATTGCAATAGCAAATTTTCCTAAACTAGACAAGCATGTCGGAACTGATATGATGATAGCTATTACAATATTTATTCTCTATGACGCATAGACACCGAAAACACGATACCGACACTGACACGTCGACACCAGTAACAATTTGAAAAAATGGTGGATGATGTCAGGTTTCAGACACGGATATTGACATAGACACACATTTTTCCAGAGATGTCGGTGCTACAAAGTTTATTCATACTTGAAGTGATTATAGGGGGCATTACCGGAGCTAGACAGGGATTGCAATACGTCATAACTTTTATATTTTGAGTGCTAAGATCTTTGATAAGTTTCTTCCAACCCCAATATCTTTGTTCATCCACTTCCCAATTCCACCAAAGTTGTGAGCCAATCATGGTTTCTCTCTGTCCTACCCAATCCTGCACAGTTTCAACAAGCAAACGACGAGATTTCGCAAACTTCTGAGATATATGGATTCGAGTTTTTATGGAAACTTCTAAGATTGGATGCAGTCTATAGAAGCAAGTTTAAGTGTTTTTGCGACTTGCGAGTGATTACCTGTAGCCAAAATGCCGAAACAGGAACGTCATAAGTTCTTAATTCATCCCAAATACGATGTACAGAATCTGTGCCACCCTGCATTCCAACTACAGCACCAGATATGATCCACTCTGGAAGCTCTGGTAGCCTTCCAATGGTTTCTGTGAAATGCTCAATCAGCTCACAAGGTGTGTTCCCGTGTAATATCCGTCCTTCAACCGAGTTTCCATATATCTGCAAGCTCCAGTTTATAGAAAATCGGAAACTACAAAACTATTATTTCGTATTTACATATAAGGATTTTAGTCATATGATTTCTCATATGCATAACACATTATAATAGTCGGCACATTATAAATAAATTTCGAGTAGTTCATATATTGAAAATTCAGGTAAACAAAAGAAACATGAACCATTTTTATGTCATAATTTCTGTAACAATACCTGTATCTGTACTCTGTCGAGTTTAGTAAGATCGAAGATGGTATAATCATATCCTTCAAGGTAAAGAGACCTCATTTTTGAAGTCATGTAGAATGGAGAAGGAGCATATGTTGTACTCCAATCACCTCCTGCCCTGCCAATACCAATCAAATGTTATCATTGTGTTGTAATCAAGGCCGTCATTGAAGGCGTGCAAGGCGGGCTACTGCACAGTGTCCCAAATTTAATACAATTAAACTGTGGCTAAAAATAACCTCATAAAAAATTTGTCACGGTTAGAGTCTCTATTTCTATTTGTTTTTCCACAGCTAAATCGTGGTTAACCTACACATAGCCTCTGAAAACTTAATGGCCTCTTAAATCTGAAAACTTATGATGATTCTGGTTGCAAACAAAATATACACATAGCTTATGATTTCCTACCGAAGTGGTTGGTGCACGGTGTGTGAGTGTTACAAACTCCGAGGTCCCGGGTTCGAAACAATTGCATTCTATGAAACACGGATACCGGAAACACAACAATGACAAAGACACATTCACACCCGTAATAATTTGAAAAAATAAATAAATTAAACATACAAGTGTCAACACAGACACACGTTTTTTTCCAGAGGTGTCTGCTATAGAGGTTGCATTAACTACCTGTAACTGACCAAGTTAGCAGCACACGTGATAGGCTGATCTCCTCTTCCAATACCTTGTTCTTGAACTAAGATAGGCACTCTTTTCCCCTTGAAATTCATGTGAGAAAACTGTTCTCCAAAACCATAAAACCTCTCATTTTCATCACTTGCATAACTCAACCAAATCCTATTGAATTCTTTCGGTTTCGATATTTCCATTTCTCCACTTTCATCCTCCACCGAAGATACCAAAACAAACCCTCTTGGCCTTGAAAGGTACCAAAACCAACCTAACCTCTTTTTCCTACTACTCAGCCTCTTCTTAAAACCCCTGTAAACTCCAGAACCTTCTGGAGAAACCTTATCACTCGAACCGAAGTTGAGTTTCTCAATCTTCACTTGAAATCCAACTTCATGCTTGTTTTTCTGATCAAACAAAACCCAATACCTCGCATACACAACCGGCCCTTTTGATTCAAACTGCACATTCCCTTCAACTCCATACTTCTGAAACCTTTTGTTCTTCTTACTCATATTGAAAAGTCTCCCTGTGATCAACAAAGTAGGAAACTTCATCTCTTCTGTAACCGGAAAATCCACAGCCGAAACTTCATATTGGTTAATCATCCTAATCTCATCAATGGTCTGGTGATTACATATCAAATGAACATCTTTGTCTTTAACAAGAAATGATCCTCTACTTTCTTCAATCTCAGTGTCAACCACTGCAGCTGAAACAAAAGCCTTACCTGAGATTGTAGACCAAATTGGTCTGTTTTTCTGAGAAAGATGTGAAATTGAGATATGCCCGCCATTGATTATGGACCAAGAAAGATGAAAATCGTTGCCAATTGAAAAGGTTTGATCTTGGGAAGATAAAGCTTTGGAATTGATGACTAGAGAGCCTTGAACGTTAGGAATGGTGGTTGGAGGAGAAGGGAAAGGGTTGTTGAAACGTTTGTGGTGTTTTTTGCTAATTTTAAGGATTGCCATAGAAATACTGTAATGAAATAAAATACTACAAAAGAATATAGGAAAATGTTTGGTTTAAACTAAGTAGTTTAATTCCTA